TGGCGACAGAATCGCCGGTTCTGTCCACAAAAATCGCCACGTGTGCGCCGGGCTTAATGAAGGTGTCCGGAGGATCGGTCGGCATCACACTAAACCCCAACGCAAGAGCAAGATTTTTCTTGATTGCACCAGAACTCACCAGAACTCGCTCGTATGTGATGATAAGTTTGTTTTCATATGCAGGTATGTGTGGATTTGACTGGTAACAAGAATTATTATAATTGGTAGAATAGGCTGCGACTAGCTAGCACGTGACTCGTGACGTCATGTGCAAAACTATTATATCGTGCATTTCTCTTTCATTCTAGCTGTATATATCTAGATATATACATATCCATATTTATATAATCTCTTAAGTATTGATCCCTTATTCTATTATTCAAATTAGCATGAAAAAAAACTTTTCGCGTTTTCTTATATTTCATTTGAAATGTTGTGGGGCACAGACCGGCAGATTCAGCTTTACAGAGTGGTTGGAAGATGGCGCTCTTGCGTCACTGTCATGTTAAGCGCGGATAGGCCAATGCCCTATCCAGATTATATTATAGAGATCAGTGATAGCAACACCCAGCCTGTACAATTAATAGACTGGTACCCGTCCCTTCTCACACCCCCCTTATATCGAGCGAGGGGTGTGAGAAGGGACGGGTACTAGTCTATACAACTAAGTGCTGCCGCCTCTCGGTGAAACAACGCCGCATCGCGAGCGGAAGTCAAGTCGGTGACTCAGTGTGTTTGGTCTGTTCAATGTTGTTTGTGTTAGGCCTAGTACAGAACATTGAAATTTAACGGTTTGACCTATTTATTATGGCTTTCCACGTATATCATGACCACAATTACTGCCAAGTGCAACAAGAATTGCTAGAGATGAAAGAAGAGTTATTTAGTATATGTTCAACTTCACGATTAGAATCGGAGCCAGGTACGCCTGTTTCTCAGCCATCGGCATCGACATCGGCGTCATCCGAAATAATGTTGCAAAGAATCAATGTCAATGTGAGTTGCAATGAGAGTATGATGAGTAGCCACGAAAAGCCAGTTTTTTTCACAGACATTTCAAGGCATGCTTTTAACTATGCAACCCAGCACAGGCTACAATTAAATATCAATGACAATTTTGACTCGACTTCTGGATGGTGGCTAAAAATTGCACCAATGCATACAGACTTGCCTCAAGCCAAAGGTGGCCCTATGAATACCATTACAATTATGGTTAAAGAGTCTGGGTCAGTTTACGTTAGAGTGCTAGAACATATAGTTGAGGAGAGCGAGTGTGTTGAGAATGGATATTTTATACCTGAAGCCTTCATTGCAATGCTTGGCAAACTGCAACATGAAACGTGCTTTGGCATAGATGAAGAGAGCTACGAACAATATACATCAAATATACAGTATGAGACAAAGGCTTGTCAGAAACGTGACTTTCCGTTTCGCCACTATGTTTCAAAATCATGTCTTAAAATCATGAAACCACGGAAAAGGAAACATAAAATGTGCAGTAAGTGTTGCAAGATGATGAAAAATATGAAACATAGCAACACGCAGGTTGGAAATGTTTTGCCATCGCGCAAGAAAAGCCGCACAATGCCATCCTCTCGATATAACATTCACCTACTGTCATCAACTAGTCTTAGAGAACGCATGCGCAACTCTGCACGCAAGACAGCTAGGCTCACTGCAAAAACTATCAAATTAGAAAAGAAATTGGAAGAATTGTATGCCACTTTAAATTAATAACAAAGCACAGAAATGGCTGTAGAATTTCTATCTAGCAGCAAACAAGGACAGAATGTGTTCAACCAGCTATACTTGCTGACACAGAGGAGAGAGCTGGAAAGGAAGTGATAAATGCCATGAAGGAAACAAGGGAGAAAGACCAAGCACAACCGTGAGTGTTTTTAACCAATTTACTTTCTTTAAAATAAAAGAGTACAAATGTAATACAGTAGCTGAAACACATTAGATTAATAATTGTTTTCTTTGGTGAATAAGAGTTTCCTTTGATAAATGATGATTGACACAGTGATTTTAACGAGTCGAGTATTATAAATAGTAATAGTATAATATATACTTTAAACATATAGATCAATATAAAAACTGTTTTTTTCAGAAACTGGAAACAAGTCAAATGTGTGGTCTTCAGTCGCATATCGAATAGGTAAGGTCGCTGTAGCGTAATGTTCTATAAACCCCCACAGACAACACGCTGTACCAAATGGGCTACGAAAGTTATAAGTGAAAATCAACTAAGGCTACTGCGTTGTCTGGCCAAGACACACTGCAGCGACAACGACCGACCGTAACGACAAATGACTTTTCAGAAAATTAGAAACTATTGTTTCCTATGAGCCATTGCACACACACACGCGACAACGACCAGCGACAACCTCGACGACAAAAATATTTAGAAACGTTTCTAATTTCCAGCGACAGTAGCCCGCGACACTTTAAAAATAGCGAATCGCAGTCGTTTCCATAGGCACGTGACATTACGATTACGTCATAAATAACCAATAATGCTAGCCAAGACGTAGACTGGTCTCCGGCGTTAAACTCGCGCCGCATGTCACAAACAATGGGGCCGCGAACCAGTCTAACCAAAGCGTGCAAGCTGTGGCAAGCTACGGTCACTGTATGACACAGTAGGTAGGTACGTACAGTACATGATAATTTGCTTCGTATATTTGACTTTATTATCTTATCCTTACACCTAGAGAGTTTTTGCAGCCTGTTATTTAAAAGCAAAAGCCGGAGTTTTTGCCGTTTGTTCATGTGATGATGTGTGCCAGTGTGGCGAGTGCTGAGTGAACTTTGACCTAACGTCGGTCGCTGTCGCTGCAGTGTTTGCTCCAGTTGCCGCTGTAATGTTCTATTGTTGATGTATGGTTTTGCCGGGTGGGGGGGAGAGGGCTCTCGGGATTCTAGGAATAAACGTGGGGGTTGAATTTCACATATCTGCGTCCTCTAATTTATTGGAGTAAGAGTGATGTGAGGTAAAGATATCTACTCTAATTGATGCACTAAGAGAGATACAACACTGGCGACGAGGAATTATCTGAAATGGAGATAAACAAGATACCGAAGTTTGACTACTACTCTGATCCGGCTACGTGCGGTCCACGCTGGACGCGATGGCTGACAGCGTTCGAACTGTACGCTGATGGGAAAGGTCTGATCGTTAACAAAGATACGGACAATACTACGAAGCAAAGGAGAAGAGCGTTGTTACTTCACTCCTCCGGACTTGATGTGCAGGACGTGTTTTCTACATTATCAGCCACCGGAGAAGTTACGGACTATGTTACAGCAGTGACGGAATTGAATACTTATTTTGTGCACCAAGTAAATTCAGCGTTTGCGAGACAGACATTTCACCGGATCACGCAGAAACCAGGTGAGACTGTGCAACAATTTGTCACACGTTTGAGGAAGGCGGTGAGAGACTGTAATTTTGGCAGCGATATTGAGAATCAAATCAGAGACAGTGTGCTGAGCAAGTGCTCGTGGGATTACGTTAGGAGGAAGCTGCTGGAAGAAGGCCAGGCATTGACATTAGGCCGTGCCACACAAGTGGCAGACCAGTGCGAGATGGTGGAGGGCCAAATGGCGGCACTTTCGACGGCAAATAGCGGCGAAACTGTCAACAGAGTCGGTGAGAGGAGTGGAAACTGGAAGCCACAACAACGAAGAGCATGGAGTAAATCCGATAATAAGACCGTTAGAGATAAGGCTTGTTATAGATGCGGATTAACTGGTCATTTTGGGAGCGATCCGAAATGTCCAGCAAAGGGTCAATCATGTAGAAAGTGCAAAGGGAAAGATCATTTTGCTAAAGTGTGTAGAACAAAGTCTAGGTCTGGGGTAAATTTAGTTAGTGAAAGTCTTAATGACCCTGTAATTCAGATTATGCATTCACTGTGTCTGGTTGTAAATCAAGTATGCTTACGACATGTGTTGGTGGTGTGGATTTAGCAATGTTGGTGGATTCAGGTGCGACCAGTAACATCGTCGATAAGGAAACCTGGGAGGAATTAAAATCTAGAAACATAAAGTGCAAGTCTATGGCTAGTACCACAGTGAGAAAACTGTTCCCCTATGGCTCTGATAAACTATTGCCAGTAAAGGGAAGGTTTGACTGTGTTATTCAGGCAGGGGGAAAAGTCGCTGAAGCTGAGTTCCTGGTAATTAAAGGGAAAGGTGTACCGTTGCTTGGTAGAGATACGGCGACGAAGTTAGGAGTCCTGAAAATTGGCATTGAGATTGCAGCAGTAAGCGATGTAGCCAGTGATATCCAACGACTGTATCCGGATGTGTTCCACGGTGTTGGAAAATTGAAAACTAGGCAGGTAATTATCCACATTGATTACACTGTACCGCCAGTAGCACAACCCTTGAGGCAAACCCCATTCAATTTGAGGGATAAGGTAGATGGAAAGATAAAAGAATTATTTTATCTAGACATTGAACCAGTCGATGGTCCCACACCTTGGGTAAATCCAGTCGTAGTCGTCCCGAAAGCGGCAGGTGACATAAGGCTGTGTCTTGATATGCGTAGAGCAAATAAGGCAGTTATTCGTGGCCGATACCCCATACCCACCGTGGATGAACTGCTCCAAAATATGAATGGGTCAAAAGTGTTCAGCAGATTAGATTTAAAGTGGGGTTATCACTAGTTGGAGCTGTCTCCAGAGTGTCGTGAAATCACCACATTCGCCACTCATTCAGGGCTGTATCGCTATAAAAGATTATTGTTTGGTGTATGTTCCGCCAGCGAGCAATATCAACACGAGATAGCAACAGCGTTAGCAGGCATCGAGGGTGTGGGAAATATCTCTGACGATATCATAGTGCATGGACCTGATAAAGAAACACATGATAGACAGCTACATGCAGTTATGAAACGGCTGCAGTCCAGCGGACTAACACTGAATCCTGACAATGCTTGTATTCATGGGAATACTACTATCCGAGAAGGGTATAGGGCCTACTGAGGACAGGGTAAAAGCTGTGATGGAAGCGCGAGAGCCAGCGAGTGCATCAGAGGTGCGAAGCTTTTTAGGTCTAGTGTGTTATAGTGGCAAGTTTATACCGCAGTTCGCAACCATTTCTGAGCCACTGAGGAAACTGGATCCGTAAGGATGTACCATTCAACTTTGGTCCCGAGCAGAAAGCATCATTCCAGGCTTTGAAGGACATTCTCGCTAAAGCAATAACGTTGGCTTACTTTGATAAAGATGGCCCCACTAAGGTGATAGCTGATGCTAGTCCAGTTGGTCTAGGTGCTGTTCTAGTACAGGAACAGAATGGGAAGTTCGTACCAGTATGTTATGCGAGTCGTAGTTTGAGCGACTGTGAACGTAGATATTCACAGACAGAGCTTGAAGCGCTGGGTCTAGTTTGGGCGTGCGAGAGATTTCATGCGTACATATATGGTATGGAATTTGATTTAGTGACTGATCATAAACCATTAGAGGCTATCTACAACCCGCGTTCCCAGCCTTGTGCGCGAATTGAAAGATGGGTGCTACGTCTCCAGCCGTATACGTTCAAAGTAGTGTATGTACCAGGACCAAAGAATATATATAGCAGATTCACTGTCACGCCTTCTAAGTGGTAAGGCCAGTGCACCAGGGCATGTACATGGTGCAGAGGAATATGTGCGGTTTGTTGCCAGCAATGCGACACCAAGAGCGTTAACTACACGTGAGGTAGAACAAATGTCCGCAGCTGACGACGAACTAATCGTATTACGAGAAGCAATAAAGACGGGTCGATTTGAGAAATGCAAAGCGTTTGCACCAATAGTGGCAGAATTATGCGTGATTGGACAGTTGGTGCTACGAGGTACTCGTATTGTATTACCAAGTAAGTTACGACCACAAGCGCTAGCTTTGGCACACGAAGGGCATTTAGGTGTGGTCGGGACGAAACAGAATCTAAGAAGCAAAGTGTGGTGGCCAGGCATGGATAGAGCTGCCGAGAAGTATTGTAGATCGTGTCATGGTTGTCAGTTAGTCGCGCATCCAGATCCACCCGAACCGCTGAGACCAACAACGCTACCGGATGGACCCTGGCAGGATGTCGCTATCGACTTGCTGGGACCATTTCCATCGGGACATTCGATACTTGTCATAGTTGACTATTATAGTCGGTTCTATGAATATTCTATGAATATTCTAAACTCTACCATGGCTGTAAAGATAATCGATAGTTTGGAGGAGATATTCAGTCGTCATGGACTTCCTATCGCTATCAAGTCAGATAACGGACCACAGTTTCGTTCTGAAGAGTTCCAGGAGTATTGTGATCAAAATGGGGTCACAGCCCTCAAGGTTACTGAAAAATGTGCGCAAGCAAATGGCGAGGTAGAATAAGTCGCTGATGAAGAGAATTCGTATCGCTCAGGCAGAAGGGTTAGACTGGAAAAGGGAACTCAGGAAGTATGTGACGAAATACCGTGGCATTGACCATCATACTACAGGGGAAGGTCCAGCTGAACTCTTGTTAATCGTAAAGTGAGAGGGAATTACCAGATTTCCAGGCAAGACAGTCGTATTGATATGGAGGTATCCGATCGTGATGCTGACGAAGGGAAAGCGAAAATCTACGCTGACGAACGTCGGGCAACGCGCAATACTCTGTCGTTGATGTTGGTGATAAAGTTCTGGTCAGGAAAGAGAAAACCAATAAGTTTTCAACAACATTCGATCCGGTTCCCCCACTGTCGTACAGCAATTTTGGTAATAGTCTTGTAGTGGAGGCTCTGGATGGTGCTCAATATTACTAGGAATACTACTCATTTAGAGAAATACGTGTCGAATGCCTTGTACTCCCATACAGGACGATAGGTAGAAGGTACCGCGTCACCAGGCCCAATGATTGAAACTGGACGCCAATAGTGGAGTTCCAGACAGTGATGTCACTGATGTGTCAGAACTAGTTTATAGATCCAGATGTTCAGAGGCTTCATCTGAAGATACGTCTCAGATGCCACAATCTTCTTTGACAACCCAGTATCGTCGATACCACAGGCAAAAGAGAGTACCTGCTAAGTACTCTGACTATGTAATGGAGTAGAATTTCGTTTCTATTGTGTTGGAGATAACAATGCCTTGAGATTAGCTTGTTCCACAGTGTGTACAGGGATAAGTTTGAATTTAGTTCGGACATTGTATGTTATATGGCAAAGGGTTTATTGCTCCAGGTTATTGTGTTCCTAAGAAGAAGAGATGTAATGTTCTATTGTTGATGTATGGTTTTGCTGGGGGGGAGAGGGCTCTCGGGATTCTAGGAATAAACGTGGGGGTTGAATTTCACATATCTGCGCTCTCTATTTATTGGAGTAGAGTGATGTGAGGTAAATGATCTACTCTAATTTGATCGGCCACTAAGAGAATCAACAGCCGCGACTTTTGTCATTACGGTCGCGTCGGGTGCGCTGAGTGTGTCTGACCTTTACTCTGGCCAGCTCTATAGAAATATTACACAATATAGGCTGCACAACATGGAAGTTTACTGTTTGTGAATTCCTAAATTCAGATGCCCACTAGTATACAGCTCATCACAGAGTGAATCCACCTTTTGTAAGAGGCAGACCATGGTGTTCTGCTTCTCTTAGTTGATGTGCAACCATATTATATATATAGATATAGATATAGATAGATATATATATATACATGTCATTACTAACCCCTGATATATATAATATATGAGTGCAAGCAATTTAAGATTGTCAAACACGTATATTGATTATATAGTGATGCAACATGGAAAAGGGAGTTTTTGGATAGAAAATTGCATTCATGTCTGTGAAAACTTCATAAGAGAAAATTTACGTTTTGTGTCATAAGTGCATAAGTGTCATTGTGTCATAAGTCATAAGTTTAAGAATTACACAGGTCCAAATGGTGCGCGAGAATAACCTGAAAGAGTTTCAGGTTGCTGAAGACACGCCCAAATATGGAGCCGGCAGCGAGCTTGGGCGGGAGCAGAGAGAGAAGGCACGCAGAGAGAAGTACGGCCTTGTGAGAAAGAAATACGATCCTGAAGCACAACCATGGTTGCTGCAAGGAGGAACAAATGGGAAAATGCAAGCTACAATGCTACAATGCTCCAACAATGCCGTTTTCTTGCATCTTCCTGAGTCAGCGCAGGTCGTAATAGTAGTGATAGGTTATGGCATGTAAAGTTGTCAGCCTAGCTTATAGGTGGGGAATGACCGTAGAAGATTATCAGTAATCAGTACTTGCTTTCGTTTCAAATAAGGTAGTCTGTTCTATTTCATAACGGGCAGCAAACGAAACGGTTGGTGTATTGTTTGATGTGTATTTTTACTAAAATAAGAACATTTTAATTTTTTTGGCAACCGTAATTGTAATTATGTAAATTTTGTGACATTAAATGTACAAAAGTATCAGAGAAGGCAGCGTGATGAAAAACTTCAAATATTTTGTATTCACACAAGCACAAGATGGTGCGTTTGAGGCGTGCAGCATAGACACCCAGCGTTGGCGGCGTTTTATAGGAGGCCGGGGGGCCGGGAGGAGGGAAGACCAGGGGAGACGAGCATAGCTCCTAGATAGATAAGGCAATATAGATGAGAGTTTATCCACTCCAGAGATGCGTGTGTGCATGTGAAACGATGAGCACCTTAGTCTAGGACGCGCTGGCAGACGTGGTCTGCCGCGCTCTACTCGAGTGGTTTCCACGTCAGCCAGTGTGGTGTCCCTATAATAACAATGTCTAAGGGTCATAATAACAATGTGTGCGTGCTTACGCGTGAAAGTCAGGTTAACTGTGTGCGTGTCTGTGCTGTAAGGGACTAAGGGTCGTAGTAATAACGTGTGCGTGCTTACGCGTGAAAGTAGGATTAACTGTGTACGTGTCTGTGCTTGCAGGTGTTCTTCAGCTTGGCGCGTTCTGGCTCCTGCTAGATTTACTTCATGACTCAACAAGCAGGGGCTCGCCAGCTGCTAGTGCTGTGCCGCCGCAGCGCATTCCCACGCTACAGCAGCTGTCCCTCCTGAGGATCACTCCAGAAACACGACGACCTGAGCGGGCGACGGACACGCCGACGTCATATCATTTGTCTGCTTCGATCGGTCATTGTCGGACGATGCGCCGGTCACTACGGGCCGGTTTCCCTGCGGTCAGTAAGAACAGCCTGCGGCGGCACGTCCCCATGAAGACAAGACAAGCGTCGACCACCAACGGATGCTCTCTGCTGAGGAAATCATCTCCTCTTAGTGCTGTCTCACGCTTTTTCGCTCTAAAACTGTAATGATTTAGCGTGTATGCGTAAAAGTAGGGGGGAGAGACAGTGCCCGTATTATGTGTGCGCGTGCGTGCGTACGTGCGTACGTGCGTGTGTCTCGTTACTCTTACAGTATCTTGCGCGCACTTCTCTCGAGTAAAACCCCCCTACCCAGCCCCTACCCCGGCGCTTTGTATTGTGACCACGCTCCTTGCTCGCGTGTAGACCCGCCGCCGCTGCCCCCGACGCATCTAGGAAAAAGAAGCTCTATAGTTATGTGCAAAGTGCAAAGATCGTGAATCTAACTAACGTAGGGCGCCCCCGTACGAGAGCTATGCATCGTCGCGTCGACGGTCATGCGCTCTGGCCTCTCATCGTCTGTATTCTGCGGCGCACGCGACCTCACGCGGCAGCGAGCGTCCTTGCGGCCGGGGTAGTGGAGGGCGGTTCTGACGTGTAAGGGTTGCGCGTTTGCATTTCCTTGCCGTCAGCGGCGAGCTGCTGTGCAGGAGGAGTCTGCGGGAGGAGAACACGATGAGTTGTTCACGCGTGGCAGACGCAGCGAGTCGCTGTGCTTCGTCTCGATACACGAATCGTCGCCGAGCAGCTGCTAATGCGGAGCGCGGATGTTAGCTTGGGAATGGTAGTGCGTAATCTTGCAGTTGAGATGCTGCTACAGAACCGGCTGTATATCGCTCTCTGGCTTCGATTTAAGAATGTGTTAAAACGTCGTCATCTCGATGAGAGAGATCGAAGGTGTTTTTTTATTTTACCACACGTACGTGCCCGACATATGTAACTATTAAAATATCCCCAATCCGAGATCTGTACATGTGGTTCGTACATGCGGTGCTGGAGGTGTGAATCACGTGCTAATCGCACGTCTGCAGTTGACCCAAAGTACAGTAGTAATACGAGGCATGTATAGGTACGTGTATATAGGATACTGTATACAAAACAATATGGGGTTACCAACGTGTCGCCTATATAACAATAATGGTTATACTTATTACTTGCCACGTATTTAACGGAATAATTACCGAATAATACGGAATTTTAGGGAAGCGTTGATCGCGCAGATGTGTTGCTAGAAGAGAGCTGCTTGCGCCACCACGCGTAGACGATGTACGTACAAATATTATGTAAGCTTGATCACTAGTGTTTGTTGGCTGTTTACGTGCAGGTTTAGCGTGAAGTGTAGAGACGATGTCACGGAAATAAATTGTCTGTATACAAATGTCAAATCAATCCGTTGTGTTTTTGTAGAGGCTTTGCGACGATGGTTCAGATGCTCTATGTTTGATATACTAGTTGTGCCTATTACGTAACGCGGTGAAACCGATAGCAGCTAGTGTGTATAAGCCCTTAATCCATCAGTAGTAGGGAAACCTGTACTCTGGCCCTGAGGGAGGCTTCTGATTGGTCGAGAGACACCACATGACTACGCCCATGTGACGTGACGTCACTACCACGCGACCACGTGACATCACTTCCGACACCACGTGACCACGCCAGAGTACAGGTTTCCCTATAACCTGTATCATACAGGTGAGTTTTCCTACTACTTCCCTCCGATGAGCATTGCATCTTGAATGCTGCCTAATCTAAGCCTGAGTTTAGGGCACTTGCCGAATTTATGGGAAATGTTATCCCCCGGGCGTGGAGGAACAGTACCGCAACGTGGCAGCACTAGTGTTAGAATTAGGGTTAGGATCCGAGTTAGGTTTAGGGTTAGCGTTAGGGTTAGGGTTAGGGTTTTTGCATCATGTTATCTGTCCCCACACCATAGATTAATTTTTGTGGATGACCCCTATATATAGAGATCCGATATATAGACATTTTACACACATTTAGTGTTAGGGTTATTGTTACGTTGAAGTATACGTCAACTGTATCACGTGACCGTCTCTCCACGCCCGGGGGATAGCAACACCCCGAATTCTATATATATTCTATATATTTTATATACTTCCTATATAGAGAGAGAGCGAGAGAGAGAGAGAGGGGGGATTCTCTGTACCTTCGCATAGGGCTTGAGCACACGTATTATCATTACATACGGCATGCATGCGGCATATGAGTGTCGATGCGCCCATAATCGCTGCATTATATCACGAGTGAATAATAATAGATGATCTATTATTATTCACTCCTGATTATATGTCAGTCTCTCTCTTGCTCCATCGCTCTAGCTAGCTCCCTCCCTTTCTTTCTCTCGCTCTATCACTTTCTATTTCTTTTCCTCCAATACCTTCCTATCGAAGTTGCCTAATAGGTGATAAATAAGTCGTAAATAGATCGTCAGCTAGTGAATGTTGAATAAGTATAAGCAGTGCCGGATTAACCATTAAGCAGACTAAGCACGTGCTTAGGGCACCAGGGCCAAAGGGGGCACCACAAA